GACCTTTCGTTAAAAACCAAATTGGTTGAAGAAGACACTCATCTTGAACAAAGGGGAGATGTTTTGGTAGCCATAGCCATTTACTAATTTAAATCTACAAATATGCACCGATGATCATCTTAACTGTTTTTTTTATTTATTTTTATTTTGGATATATGATTTCGTTACATGCTTTCCACTTCTTTTAACAAGTTTATTTTCGTTGTTCTGTCCGCCAAGAGACTGAGAGAGAGAAAGATGCCTTGCCAGAGGCCTGCCATAAATCAACGTTCTAGAGTGGAATGTTCGCCTGGATTCCCCGGAATCATACGGAGAGAAACATTCTCAATACTCTCTAAAGACTTTGAAGAGACAAGATTCACAATGGCTTATCTTTTGCAGGAATGCTATCAAATCATTAGGCCTACACTCCAAAAATATAGGCTCCATTTGTACAAAATGCAACATATTCTTTATTTACTTTTTGGGAATTCATCATACCAATTTAAATAAATTACAAACAATTAAACAAATACAAAATCATTCTGAAAAGACTGGTCTTAGCCTGTAGCTACAAATAAAACATTACATCTGAACTAGTGCGTAATTGCTTTCAGAATTATTTTAGTGCGTAATTGCTTTCAGAATTATTCATATTTCCAGTATCTAGCTATATAATCTACTTTAAAACTAGCATTCTTTGTAATTACATTAAAATTTAGATTTGATAGAAAGCTATAACTCTTAAGTAAGCTTTCAAATCAAGTTGAATATACACTAGGTTGCAGCTAAGGTCTGTGATGAGACAGCTTCTATTGTTTAAGTCATAAGAAAAAAACTTTTAAAAGTACATTTCCTCCATAATTTCTGTGCTGTATCAATAACATTTTATTTCAATGACCGTGTATTGTACATTTTTTTTGCATCCTCGGCCTATTGGAGTACCCTATAGGCAAAGTCCAATGAATTAATTGAAATTACAACCAGATGTAAAACAATAATGTTTAATTTTTTTGCTGATTGTGTTTACTCAAATAATATTGGACAATGTGAAAATAAACGTATTGTCACACATAACCTCTGTGCAACCCCTATTCTCAAATATCTTCAGGGCACCTAAGGTCAGGTGAGGTAGCTATACGTAGATGCTGATAAATGGTACAATTACTATTCTATAGCACGTGAAAGGTATTCATCGCTTACAGAACGGTTGTGCGTAAGCTTCCTGTTTGCTACAAGATATTTGTGCCATGGACCACAATAACTGTATGGGTTTGATATATATTTTAGGGGCAAATCAAGCCATAGGCCTATATCTAAAATCGTTAATTGTATGTTATGATCACAAGACATTTTAAAACCGTTTCAGTGTCGAATAATTGTAAGAGGTCCTGTTGAACCTCAATTATCTAAATATTGTTAAACATTGGTGTAATTACAAGTCACCACTCTCGTTTATATGTACACATTTATACCTAACACATACACACACATATCACATCTAACCAGCACAGGTTGAAGCATCTCTACTGAGTGTGATGCATGCTGTCGAGGTGTGAGAGGGTTTAATCAATGTATTCGTAGGCCCACTTCGACGACAGATCGTAGCAGACCAGTACGCAGTAAATCAGTGAACTGTAAAGAGAGGTTTAGGCTACATGAGGTACAAAACCTTCTAATAAAATACACAATATGCCTGTGTAACTTCACACACCTGCACAGTGCACTACTAGACCATTCACCTCAGAACGTCGTCCATCGAATATATTGGGGGATACAGTCCTATCCTGGTGGAGCATCCTATCACTGTCTCCATGAATGCCCACAAGTTGAAGACGTTAATTTTTGTATAATATTGTCATTATTTGAGATTTATCAAGGGAGGTATTAAAATATAGACTAAATAGTATAGGCTCAAATTAGGCTAGATGTCTGGACCGATCTCTTGCAGAATCAGTTTTGTAAATCAATGCTTTCGTTCATGGTTGTTCATAGCCTCACGCTATTACCATATGGATTTAATTTTGTGATTAACTGACTTAAGAACGTTTTTTATTTTGGGGAGCATGAATCAAATACATGCCTTGGATTGAAACACATTTTAAATGGTTAATTTAGGCATATAATGCAGGAGCAAATGTCCACATAAACGTAGCCTACATATTTTTCAATATAATATTTATTCCAAAAGTAACGTTTACCCGTAATGATATTGAAGCTGTTATGCACCAAGATGGATGCATTTCACACATTTTTTCCCCCCTATGTATAATTCTATAAATTGTAATAATGCATTCGACATGAGTAGGTGTAACACTCACATGCATACGGATCAGAAGCTCCAAAGTCACCACTTGGAAGTCCCTCAAATGTGTAAGATGTCCAAGGGGGCTAGGTCCTACACAATGGAAGAGAAGTGGCCGACAGTTCACCGCACTCTCGGGTCACCACTGAGAGCAACAAAAGAGCAACACATTCAGAGGTGCCCTTCCACCGGCCCCTCAATAGGCCCGGAGCAGAAAAACCCACAAAGGCCAACGCACTGACGAGGCCACGCAAGGACCGGGAACGACCTACGAGGGCACACACAGAAGGTACACGTATAGAGAGCCAGTCAGGTCACAGGGGTTGCAAAGGTCGGTCATCCCGGCTAAAACGGACCTAATGGGACAGAAAATGTGCCCTCCGACTGAACTCGGCCTTCTCGCGGTTCGTCCCAAACTTTAATAAAGTACCTTTTCAGCCTCGCGACATGGAGGCGACAGGTTTTAGAAAGAGATTGGAGGGATGCTGAGACTGTGGAGTAGCTACACATTCTCTCAACTGTCAAGAGGCCGGTTTCCCAAAGCATCTTATGGCTAAGTTCATAATCATCCTTAAGATGCTTTTGGGAAAACGGGCCCTGGCAGCTACATAAAGGCTCCTGGATTTCTGCATGGTGTTAAGTTAAATTTTTTGGCCTGATAGTTTTATTTCGTAAAGTTACTAGTTAGTGAGTTGGGTTTATTTCTTTGTGAGAGAGGCTGTTGCCAAATTAATATATTCAGGCCCAAATCATTTTACTCTGCGTCGCTAAGATTGATGGTTCAGAATAGGCTACCTCTCCCTTTGTGCTCTTCTGCCCCCCAACTAGCAAGCCGTTTTATAATTTCTATTCAAGTCACACATTTTAATAATCTATCAAATTCTTGCACTCTTTTCAAACGTGGCATGTTTTTACACCACATTTTGAGCAGGATAAGAAAAAGTTATTCCACAAATGAAATTATTTTTGGAGAACTGTTGACTGGATGGTCTGTTTCATCGTGCAAGACATGGTTACAGGAGAGCAAATGCGCAATATGAGTAGCCTATGTATTATTACAGATGCATGGTGACAAGAAGTCCACAACACTGCAATATAGGCCTATGGAAAATACCGCCAGGATGCTTTTGCAGTGTAGGGTACTTACCAAGCCCAGAGGTGACGATGACGTTGCCTCGAGCGCCACTTTTTAAAAGCATACTCTTCACTTTGACCGGGGAGGTCTCAGGGCCCAACAGACATAGGCTATTTTTAGAATGACAATTTGGTGAACATCTCAGACAACTAACATTCCATTTTATATCTGTAGAAATTATTGCATATTGAGAAGGCCTATGTGCTTGCATAGAAAAACATATAAAATTATTGTTTTTTTCCAAGATATTCTAGGAAAATCTGAGGCAATAGGTCTTGCTCGTAGATTTGATCCTAGTACGATATTATGTAAGCTATAGTATCACTTATTGTCCACGATAAAGTCCCAGAATCTGACTTCAAATTATTGACTTTATTAGAAGAAAATTAAAGCAACCTGTAATTGGGGCAAAAGGGGAATTAACAGGAACCCATACTAACAACACAACTGATTATGGGTCATATTTTGGCAATATGACATTGATTTCCAGAATTATGCGCAGCTATAGGTTCAGTAATGAGCAGGAAACAGGGCTCCAGACAGTCAGACAGTAGCCTATTCTACAGAGGGAGTCTGGTTGAGGGCCTGGTTGAATGGCTTGCCAAGTTAATTGAATGTCCTTGAGACTAATGAGCTAGCATGTAGGATAGGATGCATGCAGCCAGGCTATAACCCTTTATTTGGAGTAGAATCATGGATTATTATTGGATTAGGGATTAGGTCTATTGTGGATTGTTAGGAATTAAGGGGGAATATGAATGGTGAATCTGAATACACATGCCTACCTCGAGAACATTGCAAACCGACAACTTTGCCAAACAAATGTATAATGCGTTGTTAGGCTGAACTATAAAGTAAATACAGTACTTGGTAAATTGTGACATTCATATAATTTTGAAATAAGGTTCACCTCATCATAGGATGGACTTCTGTTATCAAAAACAATTACACTTGAACTCGGTTGGCCATGAATGAAATCCATACAGACGTGAATAAAACTAGTAGACACTCACTGTTTTATTGACCAATATGATTATCACAAATACACTAAACTCTGTTTATTGCATTTTACAATAACCTGCTAAACACAACGTCAACACCACAAACATAATTGTCATTCAAAATCCTGTTTTTGAAATACGCGAGGTAATTCACGTTGCAAGATCGATGTTCCCATCGGTATGGTCCAGCATTTTTACCAAAAATAACTATGATAATAATGATATTCTTCCAGTGTTGCGCTTGAAATAAATATATTGTGCATTTCACCTTGGGCAGCAGGGCAAACGAATGGCCCACAATAACATTTAGATAAAATGTAGGCCTACATTTTTTTCCTTAATTCAAAACATTTTTCTCATAAAAACATCATCTTGATTCAGCATTACATAACTTAAACCCTGTGTCGCGTAAAAAGAATCCATCGGTATTCGCATAAATCCATGCTATATAACATGCATTTTATATAACTTTGGACTTAAATGAAACCACACAAATACCTACGAAAACAAAATATATACGATTCTATTAAATAATCAGTCATTTCTCTATCTCCATTGAAGTGTTTTTGTTTTGTTCGCCTTATAACGTTGTAATATCCTCCCCATCCTCTCCTCCGGAAAGTTCATTTGGAATAACCGCACCAGTGGCCGAGGAAGTGGTGACAGCGCCGGTTGATGAGGTTGTGTTGGACCCGGAGGATATGCCCGTGGTGGAGGATCTCACTTTGGTGTTAGGAAGCCTATGGTCTTTTTTCCACTTCATCCTGCGGTTCTGAAACCAAATTTTGATTTGTCGTTCGGAGAGAACCAATGTATGAGCTATCTCGATGCGCCTCCGCCGAGTTAAATAGCGGTTATAGTGGAATTCCTTCTCCAATTCTAAGACCTGCTGTCGAGTGTAGGCTGTCCTAGACCGCTTGGAATCAGCTCCATTGTAATTCGGGTTCGCTGGAAAAGGGGAGAAGTAAATAGAAAGAAAGAAAGAAAGAAAGAAAGAAAGAAAGAAAGAAAGAAAGAAAGAAAGAAAGAAAGAAAGAAAGAAAGAAAGAAAGAAAGAAAGAAAGAAAGAAAGAAAGAAAGAAAGAAAGAAAGAAAGAAAGAAAGAAAGAAAGAAAAGCAGGGAAGGAGGGGGTAAACAAGAGTGTCCTCAACTGAGATATATGATGGGAATAGGCAGAAGGAATGGCTAGATATGGTAGTTATGGTGTTAGAAATAATCTAAATGGGAAGTTAAGAACTTGTCTATCTCTCTGTAATTAGGGGACACACATCCAAGTATGCGCTAAATTATTAATGCTAGATTACAAAGCGCAGTCTTTTTTCTTTCGTTTAATCTCTCCCCCTCTTCTCTCCATCGCGCACATAGGCTACAAAACAGCAGAAGCCACATGGTGATACGGCTGCCAAGAGTATACCTCGGCTATAAAATTTATGGTGGGTGTAATTACCGACGCTGAGTCGTAAATCCGCCTCAATTGTGCCATTTCAAAAGCTTCTCCCCTATCGTAGCAGGGGCTGGGAAGGAGATGGGAGTTAGAGACACTGATAAAGGGAGGGAAAGGAGGAGAGAGGAGTAGAGAGTGGAGAGAGAGAAAAGACCAACACAGAGACAAGTTGCCTACCGGTGCTGATGTGAATTTTCTTCATCCATGGGTATACCACGGGCTGCTTGGAGGAGGCTGAGCTGTTTGGATGCTCCGGTGTAGCTTGGTTGCAGGCGGAGGATGCAGCCGGTGGGGTGGTGGGGGACATGGGCAGCTGTGGGGTCTCACATGAGGCTGGCTGCCCTTTCCCTGCAAGCAGGTGCGCAGTATGGGGTAGTCCATGTCCCCTTTGCGTGTCAGGTTCAGGGATGCTTGTACAGTTATATTGGCCCTCTTGGTAGCTCGCCCGCGGAGGGTATAACTCCTGATGGTGATGCTGGTAACCAGAGCCAGGGTCCCTTGCGCGGCTGTAATATTCGGGGCTGTGCTCGGGGATGTAGCTGTTTTGCGAATATTCCTCGCATGGAGGAAATTTCGGATCAATGTAGGTAGAGTCCATCAAATACGAGCTCATGATCATTAATTTCTGGAGTGGAAAATAATTTTTCTAGCTTTGTCGTTTTTCTGCTCCATAAAGCCCTCCTACTTGCGAGCAGCCCTGTAAAGTTACTTTTACCACGTGACCCCACGGCCCAATAGCAGAGTGAGAGGTAGTCCCCGGATAAGGAACCAAAGGTTTTCGAACATTCGGTCGCCATTGTGGGCATAATCTCTCTCTCTCTCTCTCTCTCTCTCTCTCTCTCTCTCCTCTCTCTCTCTCTCTCTCTCTCTCTCTCTCTCTCTCTCTCTCTCACCAATGCAATTGATCAAAACAAACACTTCTTATGTGAAGTGTACGCTATCATTATAGTTCTATTATCATTATTATTATCATTATCATTATTATTCAGAGATAGAAATGGAGGTAGAATGCGATATATTAATGGATAATCGCACGCAAGATCTCAATAATAATTGGGTAGCCTACTGCAAGTAAAACAGCGGCAGGATTACCTTATTCACGAAAATAAAGGTAACCCTCTCTAAGAATATCCTGATGCTGCCTTCAAACAGTCCTTGAACGTTCGCGTAAATCATAAATGTTATGCATATGTTCCAGTTCCAATTAAGCGCGAGTTTTTGAAATTAGAACTGGACCCATATCAGAACACAGAGGACACCAGAGGTACACCTTACCAGTATACATAAGCTTTTTAGGTAACTACAACATCTTGAAGTATACTGAAGTACAAGTAAAAATGTAATACTTTGCATTTGAGTACTTTCAAAAACTGTCAAACACATTTCAATGCTTTTAAATAGTATTATGTAGATGTTAATGTAAATCACTGACATTATGGTTGAATATTGCAGTATGAAAATATATATTTATCTCTCTCTCTCACTCTCTCTCTGTGTATATTCATAGGTCTATACATTTGAATAAGAAACTACATTAGCATGAAATGGTGATCCAACTAGTAATCAAATCAGTATTACGTTACTCTGAAATGAGTCTCAGGGACGTTTTGTCCATCGTGGCTTCATCTTCTAGTGGCTGTCTAAGTGCACGTATATGAGTTATTCATTTGACATCAGTCCTAGCTTGCGGAGTAAATAACATCATCCATTACAAACCCCCATACACTGTTGTGTTCAGAAAAGTAAATAATTGCAGATAAAGCTGTCAATTTTGAGTGGTATCACTTGCCACAGATGCGTTACAGGCACAATTATACTGTAATTAACTGTTGGCCAAGTTTGTTAGTGGTTTTTATTCCATCCTTTAAATTATGCACGAGACCACACATCACAGGACATTAGGCCTACACATCATCAGTCTGTGACCTTTATGGCTTAATAGACTAATAATAATAATAATAATAATAATTTAAAATACATCTATGATAAATGTAGCCTACTACTACAGGGATGGATTATAAGAAGATCATAAGGATCATAACACGAGGTCAATCACCTGCTTGCTAATCAGCGTCTAAATTCGAGGTAATAGTCTTCTTTTAGTCATATGTCAATATGATCTGGTGAAAATGACATAGCAGGGCAGATGTTTATGGTTTGTTTATGTGTAGAGCGCGCCCGCCATTTCTATTACTTTTGGCAGCGATGTTTGATGCGTTTTATAGGGCTGTAGAACGCAGTAGGCCTTAATCAGTGCTCTTTAAATGATCACTGGTTGCTTACATGTTTTACTGGTACAGACAGACTAGTAGTAGTAGACCTTTGCTTCCAGATAACCTACTGTACAAAATATATGCCTATGAACGTCCTTACAATGCCTAGGCCTAGGCTTCTTCTAGACAATCTTAGATTGTTTGTAGGTTAGACATATATTTTGCACACAGACTTCTTCTGACATGTATGGCTATTCGTGCCCTATTATTTATGCGAACACGTGATACAATACAGCTATATCCTACTGAATAGAAGCGATAGTTGAAGCAGACGAATATATTGACAGACGTGGGATTTCAGTAGCCCATGTATTCCTGTAGAGACGTACTTGCGATTGTTATATATTAACACAAATTCGGTTCTACAGGGTACATATAGACAACTAATGTGTCTTCCATTGTAGCCTGAAAAGAAAAGATCGAACTGCCATAATTCTGTTAGGTGAAAATCTGTCAGTAAAATATCTGCAGTAGTGACTCTCTCTCTCTCTCTCTCTCTCTCTCTCTCTCTCTCTCTCTCTCTCTCTCTCTCTCTCTCTCTCTCTCTCTCTCTCACACACACACACACACAGTCACACACACACGAAAAGAGTAGCCTGCCTAAGATTTTTTTCTCCATCAAATTCAATCAAAACCCTGCCTTTGAGGTTAGTCGCTTCTCTAAACTATGAATATTCAGCCACAAACACTGTGCACGGTGGGTAGCCTACAAAGCGCCCGAGTGACAGCACAGATGAAAAATAAGTTTCTATTGTCTCCAACGATTTCTTGTGCTCGCCTGCCTCGCTATTACCATACTGACCGCTCGGTAACCTCTATGGCTGCCATTCTAGAAGTTAATGAGAAGACGGAGATGAAAAATGTATAGTGCATGGTGTGAGTGTGACCTGTTTCAAGAATCTAAAGGGGCAAACATAGTCTACTAAGATGGTGAATAGGTATATTTAACCGAATAGCCTGGAAAACTCCAATTGAATATTCACGTTTTTATTAATGCACAATTAAAAGATGAACATGTTCAGATAACTTGTGAACAAGATAATGTTATATATATAATATAATATCATAAATATAATGGAATGGAATAGAATCGGCATATGATTAGAGTTTTTGCACTCCCCCTCCCACTCGCCCCCGCCTTCACAGGCCCCGTGCACGTCCCCAGGTCCCCTCTCACCCAAGCTCCAGTGTTGTGGACGCATTTTAATATTCGTTAGACAGCCTGACCTGCGTTTCACCCCTCACGTTTGACTTCCAATAGTTCACTGCCAAGGATTATTGATGGGCAAAAAGCAATGAATTCTTTCTCCCCACAAATGGATTTCAGATCTCTCACCTAGTTCAATAACTAGTTATAATGTAGAACTACAGAAAAATTAGGCCCTTAGGCGAACTACTTTGATGTTTCATTTGTTCATGGGAAAAATGGTGAACCTTTCCTTTTCTTTCACAAGAACACCTTGCAGCATGTTCTCTTTCACAAACATAGGCTGCACACTGTAACAGAAAACGGTGAATTGTACTGTATATTGTGGGTATTATCATCAGTAATCTAATCTGAAACGTTTTACTGCAGTATACTGTAAATGATGGTGCATTGTGGGTAAATGTTGATGGCGGGGAAAGAATTGCTGTATTTCGAATGGCACTGTAATTCCACCCCACAGAATACATTATACCATACCGTATCTTTGGAGCGCTAAAAACCTTTTGACCACTAGTGTGGGTGCATGGTATTGTACTTTCTGTCTCATTTACAGATTTTGAGGTGTGCCTTGTAAAAGGCTATATTTGTTGCACCTATGAGCGAGAAAGCACTAACAATTTAACCCCTATGTGGTTATAGTGCCCCATCATCTAAATGTATAGGGGACAGATTGAGAGACAGCTAGTCTTAAACCTTAAATGGTTGAGCATTTTGCCTTGTCCTTTTGGTCTGTTTTGCCCTGTAGTCACTGCCAGTTTGGAAGCTTTTAAGGCCTCTAGAAGTGCAAGTGATATAAAACACCAAATATTCATTAATATACTGTAATGTGTAAACCCTTTACTTAGCAGCCAACCTGCTTGTAACGGTCCCTGGTAATTACAGTAAAATACTGCGAAATACAAACTCCTCCCCTTAATGAATTTAATTCATTCATTCATTCATTCATTCATCCATTCATTCATTTCGATTATGGTAGCATTTACTTTTTTACAGTATAATACAGTACATTTACGGTAATGTAATGTGCCATTACACATTACTTGCTTTGATACTGTATTTATATTACAGTAGGTGTACTGTAATATTAAATACAGAATTGTACATGCCACCTAGTTGCCTGTAAACTACTGTCAGATTCATAATAACCCCTTTACAGTGCATATCTGTAACACACGATATGCATGTAACACATATCTGTAGGCTACAACGTTGATGGTAGGATAACATAAGATCCGTTGTTCTTTCACTGAATGATTGTTTTAAATAGATATCTTTCAGAAAATTAGAACCCCACAATGTGGTGAGGCCACAATGTGTGAAATAATCTTTATGATGTTTATATAGTGTAATAAAGACTAATTGTTGTACAATGGAATTTGTGTACATAGGCCTAGGCCTAGATAAAACTAACTTCTTAGCATGAAAGCAAATAGCCTCATAGCTAGTTGCCAATATCACCTCGCATTTCACTGGCTTGGCTATTATCAGGGAACACTGCCCTCTCTGTTGGCTCTGCAGGAAAAGACCGAACGGGGCAGGTAGCCTACTGTTTGTGCAAAAATAATAAACAACTTACTGACACTGTACATCTCCCCTTCATTCTGTATCTGTCCTCGATTCGTTGTCTGCAAAATAAAATAACAATAAGAAATAAGATGATGAGTGGAGCCTATGATGCCGTCACAACAACAGAAGGTAATGTCATTGGACGGTCAGGATAGCCTGCAGTATTTTCAAATTGCATAACTATAAAACACAGTGGACATTTTCGTTTGGAAATGATCATTATCGCAATAAAAAAATAGGGAATTATGTAATAAATTAGCAGGTTTGAAAAGGCAAAATATTTGCCTATTTGTCATCGAAAAACAATCGTCATATGACACAAATCCCCCTTTTCTAACGACATTCTCTCTTCTCTCTGAAATGTCCCTGAAATTTCAAATACATATTTTTTTAAATAGCCTAATAGGCCTAGGCTATAACTTTCCCCATTAATAGCAACAACGTTAGTGTCCTTGACTATGTATTGTTTGTTGTATCTTTTTTTTTTTATTGCCACTTTATCCTTCCATTTTCTTCTCTCTCATCCCCCCGCCTCCCAGTTTATTTCTAATTGAGGTGAGGTGTCCCAGAAAAAGCCATAACAAGTGTGTGATCTTCTAGAATTGGGGCCGATGAGAGACATTAAGGACAGGTCGGTTTGGGGTTGTTAAACTGGATTTATACATTTGGCATTTCCTTGGGCAAAAGTTATATTTATAGAAATCCCTAGACTTCAATTCAGACCAAGCTGAATAATGTTCAATTGTCAAAATGAAGATTTTGTCACCGCATTGGGTATATTCAAGCCTGAAGCATAAACGAATATGATGGTACATCATAAAACTTGCAATATCTACAACTGGAACTCGCACTCTTAGTTGAAAAATAACCGTTTTTTTTCTGTTATGCATCTCTCTTACATTGGCAGTTTTTGGCACTGAAATTAAGACACTGGGAAATCAAATGAATGGCATAGGCCTACTTGTTCAATTGTGTTTAATTCAATCTCATAATGAAATTAATTAATTTCATAAAGTGAGATTAATATAATCTGAAAATATTACAGTATAACAAACCATTAAATCAAGCATGCAAACAAATACAAAAGCATAATTTAGTTTTCTGTTAATCTACAAATATTTGTTGGCTTCTGGAGGTGGGTTCCTCTAACAAAAATAACGCAATGTTCTAATTGCCTCATAACTCTTACCTGATCTAAACTAGACAGTGGTTTTCTTATCGGATGAGTATTTGCCAATCATTGTGATACCATAGATGGAATACAGTCAACCAGAACCGGAACAGTAAAGAATAACTGAGTTTAATAACAGTGAAGAACTTAACTCCATCCCAATGTATATAATGCAGGTGAATCCCCTGTATAACGTCCTTATTCCCTATATGGATGTGGAGCATGTTAAATAGCACCCCCTATTGGCTGTGTATCATTGTTTCCCCCTCTCTTCATCTAACAGGAAGTATTGGGTTGCTACTCAACATGAACCCATCAACTCACTGCATCATCAGGCCTCAGAGTTCCTCCTTGACCCTTCTGTGAACTGACCAGGAAAAACTCTGGGCCATAATTACAAGCTACAACATGGGGCCCAGAGTTCATTGGCAGGTCACACGAACATGGAAAACTCAAGGCAGCAGAGGATCTGACTGGCAAAGGATCTTACCTATATTAACCACACAACTTTCCCAAGTAAATAGTGACAGATACAATATTACAATGGGACTAAACTTTTTGCTCTGCTACATCCAGTTTTGGCTTCAGAAACGTCCAGAACGTTTCCACCACTTATAAAAAATAATCCATTCCTCAACTATAAAAACAAATATACAATCACAATCATGCATTGATTAAGGGATGGATGACGTTCATCCAATGGACTTCTACCATGACAGGTATCAATTGGGCTGCCCTACAAAGTCATTAAATATAGTATGACAGATTCAGCAATATCTCCTTCCCTATCCCACCAAGCCAAACTTGCAAGGTGGGTTGTCATATTTATTCAAGTAGAAACTAGTTATTTATGCACATGACCAAGCTCTGGAACCTGACTGCAATGGTTTGGATAGCAGCTGTAGCCTATGTATAGGACTATGACATCAACACACACACACACACACACACCTACAGAGTCTCTCTCTTGGGTCTCTGACAACTATGTAACATATTGTAGCATAAAGCATTTGACCATTGTGCAGCAAAGTGTAGTAGGCCTTTATCTAAATAAATATATACTCTGTTCTGTATAAAGACATATACCTAATGAATAAGAGTAGCATGGGTAGAACACACTCAAGTGAAGCTAGAACAGACCTCTCTTTCATAACTCTACTCTCATAACTTCATTTTGCCAGTGGTAAAGGGAACATGCATGCATGACACAAGTTTGTAATCTATTGGAAGATATTTCTCTCTAAGGACCAACTAACAGCAAACAGAGTCAAATATATAACATAACGATTTGGTATACAAATTACCATTTTTAAACAAATCCTGTTGTATCGAAAACATCAAGCAAACCCAACCACAGCACCAAATACAAACGAAACGCTATAGGTTGACGCAACATGCAGGAAAGTAAAAATATTGTAAACTTACTGTAGCATTTAAGGATCAATTTGTGACTGAGAGAGCCCAGCACCACCACTACAGAGAGACTAGTCCGGGCCAAGGTAATCCACACTAACTGCCAACACAGCCCTTTCTTCCTCGGATAAGAGGAGCCAGCAGCTGCGATTCCGGACAGTTAAGATTATATATGATGTGTATATATCGAGGGTTTGTCAGCTCTTCCAGGCCATAAAACCCACTTTAATGGCACCACGTGCTCCCTGTGCACCATTCACAGGCCCCGCTCGAGGCAATTGGCATAAATAACCTTCCAAACTTTAAAGTAGTAAAAGAAAGAGATACTATAAAGGGGAATTCGATAGCCCTACATAGGCCAACGTAGCACGGTTAGGCCCGACAGTGCCATTGAGAAAGCAGTCCATGCTCTGTTTCATTTATAGACATAGCAGTAAAACTAGGCTACCAGTCTGCGAGGTGAGTGAAAATTATACATTTTTCATATGAGACGATATTTCCTATAGGAAATGGCATCTGAACAATTGCTGTCCCTGTTAACCTGATTGTTTTGGTTAAGACATTTAATTAAGCTATTGTTCAAATTATAGGCCTATGTGTCACTAGGCCAGCAGTGGGTCAAATTCAGGTCAATGCATAGTTGTGTTTCAATTTATGGTTTTGTCTAAATACACAGCCTGCAACTACAATATAGGTTACAATATTGACCCACATGATCAAATAAATATCTACTCAGAGCACCCGAGATAAGGACATTAATTCAACCGTTTTTTATTTTTCACTTTGAACAAAAATGTCCATTAATTATAATCCACATAATAATTCACATTTCCTGTTGCTGCAGGATTATTTTCCTGCTGTAGCAAACTGGCTCAAATTAAGATCCTACATTTCATAACCATAGCTTTTACATTTGATCCATAAGGCCATGGAAACATCAACGTATGTAAGTGTCCACCCACTATATCCTGTTAAAACAGGAACCATTTCCCTATCTGTGGTGGAAAGGTGGAAACATAGTAATAACGTTTTATTGGGGCCTTAAACTTTTATGCGCATGCGTTTGTCCGACAGGGATATTGTAAATTATTTAAATAGACGGTGTGGGGGCTCGAATCTGTTTTTTTTTAATACGAAGTGCCTACACATGTAATGATATAAAAAAGCGACACAATTGTGCTGGTATATGGTATGGGAAGTTTATTCAAAAGTTCTCTCAACACATGTAAGCGTTTTGATTGAATCACCAGCTTTAACAAACAATTCATTTAACAATAGGTCTTACAGGTATTGTGCACCTAAAGGTATGGCACATAATCCAAAATGTAGCCTACACTGTTTATATCTCCGTTTTGGAAAATGTTAGTGTTAGGGGTATATTTCTAGTTGTATAGTGGATATGAATCATCCAAAGTCTTGATATTACATACAGACTATAAATAGACAACATGTACAATACATTTCCATGTCTGTTGACAACTCTGGACATTACAGTGAACAATAAGATACAAAATCAGTAAGCATCTGAAAATGCAAAACGCATATATATGGTTCTTCAGTTGAAGGGTATGGGCATGGAAATCCTAGGCCTATTGGTATGGGTTCTTCAATACCATCACGAAACTCTTAAATATTTGGTTGGACATAATCCATTTCAGATTCCTGACCCTCTTGGTCTATACATGTAGCCACGTTAATTGCTATTGAACAAGTAAACTATCTGTTTACATTGTCTGTTTTTTTCTTCTCTTCATGTGTAATACGAAAAAAAGAAATAAATATTACTCCGCCCAAATAGGAATTTTTTAAAAACTTAGAAAAATAACATATTTTCGTGATAACGTCTCCTCGTTATCGTGGTACCACTGAGTAGGCCTATCAGTCATTTAAATTATCATAATCATTATCTCAATGATAAGGGAATAGGCTATCGAATGTTTATTTGGCATGTATTCCACTCATGAATTTAACATGAAAGAGGGAGTGGCCTTGTAGTCCACAGCTCTCCCTAATTCTTCCAAAGGTCCTTACACAATCTTTACATTAAGACAACACATTACTTTATTTTTATTCTTTTTTTTCCCCTTAAACGTTGTACAACCATTAAGTAAAGAATAAAAGTCCACATATAAAGTGCCAAACACGGAATATGCAAATAATGTAACAGTCCATAACACATAATAGGGTCTGATTCTGAACAAGGCCTTCACGTTTCAAATCATGGTCTCTCTCTCTCTATTTAGGGTAGGCCTAGGCCCAACTTCTTTTTGCAGTTCGTCTCCAGATCAATCATCAACTCCATGTTTATATTGAATCCTTTGATTTCAGTTTCGAATCCTTCTTCCACTTCATACGTCGATTCTGGAACCAAATTTTAATTTGCCTCTCGTTCAGACAGAGGGTATTGGCGATCTCAATGCGCCTGCGACGGGCGAGGTAGCGGTTGAAATGGAACTCTTTCTCCAACTCCAGAGTCTGGTAGCGGGTGTAACTGGTTCGAGAGCGTTTACCGTCAGATGATTCTGAAGTGGCATTAGAAGAAATATGGGTTAGCCTACATTTTAAGAAAAAATCCACAGTCGAACATTATATACATCTTATTGTGTATGCGTAAAAATGGCCTGAGGTCAAACGGTTTGGATGACCTGAGTATGAAGACTCCTGTGAGTTATAGAATGTAAAATGATTAAAATAATGAACAAATGGTAAAATGGCCTTGTGACTAAACCCCCCACAAGTGAAACGATTTAAATTCAAGTTAAATGAATTTGGAATTGAAATCAACTGATAAAAACTCTGGGATGAAGACCAATTTTCTTCTAATTATTTTTCATTGAAAGCAACAACTTCTTTATTCTGGCACTTGTTCATTTCAAATACCTCTTGGCAAAATAAATAGTTGCCCTAGGTGAGGGAAATCCAGATCTTTGTTACAAGAACACTCGCAGAACTATAAGTTAAGTCTTTAACACAGCACCAAATGCAGTGCTAATATTTAGTGGCTATTCCAGCAATAAATCCTAATGGGCAACTAGTTGATTTTGGACATGGCAACATGAATGCCTTTCTGCTATTATATCTGGCGCTTTCCAGGGTGAAAAGTTCACACGGAGGTCAGGGCACTGGTTTTCTAGCCTAGCCTATACTCCAATCTTACACTAAAATAACCTGTTAGGAAACGAAAAGTACTTTCAGCCCAACAGAACTCACACTAATACATTAATGTAAAAATACTCGTTCATGGTTTTCCTTACATGTTTTGTTTCTCTTATCCAATTATGCAGCCATCAATCTAACCGCAGATCAACTCTTCACAGTAACAGAACAGGTTTACGAGCAATAGATGCCTTTGTCAAAATTTATGACCGCCAGTTTTATTATTTCCTGCGTTTGGCCTATAAAACTCAAGAGGAAAAACTGTGACAAAAGCAGTATAGCAGGCGAGAGAGTGAGTGAGGGAAGTAGTAGGCTATATACATTTGACAAATAAGTTTACCGTGGATCATGTGTAGTTTTGTCATCCAGGGAAAAATCTGCGGTTGCTGTTGACTGTCTTGGTGCTTCTTCGAATGGTTTTGATGTTTTACAGGTTGCATAGTTTCGACTTTGATCGCGCTTTCTTCGGTCGTAGTTCTGTGGTTTTCGACCACTTCCATTTGCCTTTCAGTCCCTTTGCTCAGTATACCTTCACTGAGGCAGTTCTGCACGGAGTTCCGGGAGCTCAAGGCTGAGCATGACTGTGGTAGTGGTGGAGATTGAGTGTCCGTATTGCCTCGCAGGCTAGTGTTCATCTCTTCTCGTTTTAGAGAGTTTACAGTGGCATCAGAGGAGGTGAATGTTCCGTTGAAATCATGAAGACCTCCGTTATAGGCATAATTGGCTTGACCGAAGTCAGAGAGAGAGCCATAACTGCCTAAACTATTCATGGCGTTATAGGAGGATGCCTCGTGCGTTGGCTGCTTAAAAATTGAGTTTGCTATGTAGGAACTCATCTTATACGAAAAACAAAACACACAAAAACGGTGCAGAAGAGATTCATGAAGTAAAAATTGCAATAGCCTATAGCCTAAATATTTTATCTGAGTAGCCTGGGCTAGATATTTTGCTCTTGTATTGTTGTTTTTATTGGTTATTGCTTTTCCTAGGAAGCTCTTTGGAAGTTCAAGGGGTATCTTTCCCCCCCAAAAAATAAGCACGATTTATAGGTGGGGGAATCGTATTTTTTTCTTGATTCGACGCGCACTGCCCAAATATGGGGCATCTGAATAGGATCACGTGCTGATGTTGGCCAGTCATACATTGGCTTGATACCCCGGGGGTATATTGATGAATAGGAGGAACGTGTCCGGCAAACTTTGTGCTGTGGGCTGTTGGGGACCTTGGTGGGGTCTTGGTGAGGAAAAGGGCGAGACTCTAAGACAAGAGCGTCATCTGGTGTCTGGTATAGGGCAGGCCAGGGCGGTCATCTCATCTATGCCCCCTCCATACTGCCCTTGCCTTGCTGCATCACATAGCACACCAGCCTCTGGTGAGGTGGGTGCGGGGTGCCCCATAGAGGCTCTATGAAGAGCAACACTGATTGAGCAATAGCGTGATTGTTAAGCATTAAAAAACGGCAAATGCTCTATAGTAGGCTATAATAATAATAATAATAATAATAATAATAATAATAATAATAATAATAATAATAATAATAATACAATTGTGTGCTATTCAAGGAGCCATTATTTTATTTTGGTTTATCTTAATTTGGTTTAAATTGGGTTGTATAGTCATCCCGGGAGTCATATAGGTCCGTGTACCCAAATTGCCTATATGAATATTTATTGCTCAGAATAAACAGTCACCAAAGGCGATAGCCTAAAGGTCGGACTAGCTATCAGCTTTATAGCACAATATCATATTTTGCTGGCTCATGGTTACGTTTATTTTCGTAACCCAAATGTGTTTCCATTGCAACTTCATTTGGAAATTGGATAGGCTACATGACTAAAAACAATACGGATGCTTTCTTAAACAGTAATATGTCAAGTAACAGGCTATTCATACATGGCAAGAGCCATTCACTAAATGGTTTGTAGGCTACATGTGATACATGAAATACCTTATCAGATTACAGACCTAACACACAAATTGTGCAAAAAAACGTATGTCTTCTCTGGATTATATTGATGTGATGTAAAGTCACTCAGATGTCCACTTAGCCTATTGTAGGTTACATAACACAAGGACGGAACTGTTTTGAAAACATTTTATTCAATGATACACAACTATGACAAAACATAAATTCACAACCTTAAACAAAGTGATTGATTTCTCGTGTATTATTTCCCCGTTTTATTAGGTAGTCTTGGGTAACCATAAACGGCTATTATGCTAAACAATGGTAAGCAGCAGAATGCACATAAAGCCCTCACAGAGTATATATGGGCATACATAGAATATATACAGGCATATCTACAATTTAGGTAGTGTAGTTCACCCCGTGAGAGCTTTCAGGATATTTGCAGGAAGCATATTGCGATGGGATTCATGGGAAAGTAAAGATTCAAGTACATGAACAAAAACGAAACAAGTATGCCTTAGCATTTTCTTCACATTTGGAATGCTTATGCCCTATTGTGTTTGTAAACCATGCCCAACACTGACCTATGTGAATTCACTGAAGTGATCCAAACGATACATTTTAAAATGGGGAAATTTGGGGGATAAATTAATTTCACAACACAAATAGCATGACTATGACAAAGGACATTATGCCACGAGATATAAAGCGCTATCAGTTGACTATATGCTTTTTCAGGCAAAAATGATCTGAATTGCAGAATATTGCACGTTTTTACCCGCGCGTAGGCTACGAGTTTGTGAGAGAGGGACAAATATCAGAATAATATCATGCAGGGGAGTTTGTGGTCTTTGAATGGCTAGGTAGTTTAGTGGAGTTTCATGATTTAGTTTGAAATGTATTTCATTATTTCTCTTTCTTTTCCTCATCTTTCTCCTCTTCCATGGCGTCTCGTTCCTTCTCCACCGAGGCCCCTGTCGATTCACTTCCCCTCACCGTCGACGTTAGATTGCTCTCTTTCTTCCATTTCATACGACGGTTCTGGAACCAAATTTTGATCTGACGTTCTGTCAAACAGAGAGCGTTTGCTATTTCGATACGTCTACGTCTGGTTAGATAGCGGTTGAAATGGAATTCCTTCTCCAGTTCCAGTGTTTGGTAACGGGAGTATATCTGGCGTCCCCTGCGTCTGTCTGACCCATACCCAACTCCTGTGAAGAGAAAAAAAACCACAACAAAGTCTTGGATTACATTTCTATATATAGCCATTATGTAAATTGTTCTGACATCAGGTGATTTCATTACCATAATCTAGATTAGACATCATTACAAAGGTACTGACAATGTGATGGGAGCAATTAATGTACAATATAGCCTATCTCGGCTCAGGATAGAAACGCACAATAAACAACTTCTCCAAACCATCTGCATGTCCAATGTCTGTTTGTAAAATATACATAGCCTATGCAAATTGTTTCAATTAAATATATAATATTCAGGTTAAACGAAACATTTGGGGTAAACGTTGAAAATATTTATTTGGGGAAACTGTTGGAATAGTTATGCACACTCAGAAAATAGGCCTTTCTCCAGGGCGAGACGATACAATGATGTTTTATGGGGCCATAAAAACTAGGTTGCTCTGTTGCTAAGACATATCGTAAAACTGGCTCATTAACTTAATTTATTTGTTGTAGTTAAACTCACCGCTGTGAGAGTTCATTCGCTGCATCCACGGGTATATCTGGACGTTAGCTTTCTGCTCCTGCGATCCACCTCTGGCTTGATCCAAACTGTACTCCTGAGTAATGTGGTTTTGTGCATTCAGTCCCATGCTTGTTGTTTGTCTGCAACTGGCAAGACCCCCATCCTTGTCTTGAAGAAACACATTAGATCCATACTCATAGGATGCCCGGCTCGGCCCAAAAACAACATTGTCTTGGGGAGAATAGAAAGGATTTGCGTATATCCGATTCTGGGTCACAGCAGCCCCATACGACGAAAAATGTCTCACTGTGTCATAAGTGGTGGAATTTAGTGGCACGCTTGGCAAAACATCTTGACCACCGGATAAATGGCAGGAGAGCGACGGGTTTGCGAAATACGAATTCATACCTTGCATGTAACCCTTCTTCTTCAACTCTCCGCACTTCTTTATCAGTCTTTTCTTCTCCACTTTCCCCTCTCAGTAGCTCCCCCTTTCCCTCTCTCTTATTATGTATATGTTGCTGGCTGCTCACACGCCTTTGCAAAACCTTTCTTTTACCCTTTCGCTGCTTCTATAAATAGACGGGTCCTTGTGGTTTCAATATTATTAATTTCCAATCTCCGGTAAGACGCACAAACCGGAGTGTTATAGCTGATCGCTTAGCTCTAGAGAGGGACAATATGACAATGTCAGCTGACCATTCTCCACCAATTGAGAGCAAGGAAACTGTAGCTTTTAGCTAACCAGCTATAGCTCTAAAAATGCATCCAGAAAACGCATGCATGCATTAAGTTAGTGGGACATAGCCTACTGAGCAAGAAAACAAGACAATATAAATATATAAGTGACGTGTATATGTCGGCAATATCAAACTGCTGTCCAGAACCAGAATAATCGTGTAACTGAATTGACATTTGAGTTTTTATGTAAGTTTATAAATGGGATAAGTAAATTGATATCTCTACATCTGTTTTACCTGCTTATGTAGCATGGTGTGTCTGTCTGTGTTTGTGTGTGTGGTGTGTGTTGTGTGTGAGGTGTGTGTATGTCTGTCTGTCTGTCTGTGTGTGTGCGTGTGTGTGTAAATATATAACACATTTACACATAAGGACGATGTAGTTCGCACGCACATATTTGCATATTGGGAATGCCACTAAAAAGTACAATGTAATATGTAAGATAATGTATTGTTTGTCGTCAACGCTATGTACATATTCAGTGTGGGTTGTATTCAAATCAGATGTTTATGTATTGGCAGCACGCTCATAAAACTCGCGTGCTCTGTTGGTTCTTGTGTTTTTGCATGGGCAAGAATTTTTCACATTCTTTCTATGTTTTACATCGTGTATGAAATAGCATTACATGACTTGTAGGTCATTATCGTGCCTCGGCTCTTAACGGGTAATTCAGATTGTTAGGGGGAAGGGTGGGGGTGATAAGAATGCGTTTAGGGTCTCTTCTGTGAAGGGCAATAAAACCAAGTGAAGTTTCTCAGCTCACCAACAAATAACTCTACGTATAGCCTACATAACGACACATCTCGAGCCTCTGAAACGAATGCATTGGATTATAAACGCAAGGAGTAAAAATAAGATAATAGTGTTTAATTGTATTTGAAGTTACTAGCCTAAGTGTTAACGGTTTCCAACACTTTTCCTGAAAAGCCAGCAATCAACCGTGAGTAGAGCATTGATCCGGCTACGTCAGAGGATATGTATCCACAAAGTACTATTATGGAGATGTAAGGAGATACAATCACATCTTAGAAATGTAGAGTTAGGTATTTATTTACCTAACCACAATACTCTCTCACCTAATACTTCAATATCAGTGCCAAATTGTGTAATATATCAGTTATGTGCGTTGGCTTCACAAAATTATTACATCGATGAACGGTAATTATGGGATTTTAGTATCGACGGCATGATGTACATCATACATAGAGGTGGATATTTTGAAATAGCCTAGTGCTTTAGCTATAGACCTCTAATTGTGTTGTATGTAGGCCTATGACATGGGCTCGTGCGTGAGGCCGCTTTGGAAATGGTAGATATCCAATTGTCTAAAATATTGACAAGAGTCATTTATCATTGAATGGCAACCTGGAAAAAATGGGTCTTTCTATAAGGTAGGCTACTCGATATGAGGTACAAACTCGACAAAACTGTTATTGCAAAAAGGAATATTCCACATTGAATCTTTTTGTTCTCCATGTGTGGCAAAACTCAGTCAACAATAGCCTACTGCAAACCTTTTTCCACCATCTTCAGCTTCAGCACACACCTGCATGTAATCAATTCAGATTGATTAATTTGATTGTTCAAACAACCTTCAAGCTATTCGATAAAAACACGTAGTTTAGAGAACGATATTAGCAAAAGATTGCCGATACATCTTAATTTTTCTCTCAATAATCTATAGTAATAACGTATAGCATTGAAAAAAATTCTATAATTCAACATATTGAAACCACAAATGTAGGCTATACAAATGTATTTGACAAGGGGATATCTACGCATAGGCCTATACAGACTACAACAAAACGAATCTTTAACTTGCACATAAAAAGTATATTTTGCTGGGCTTCTGTTTTGGTTCCTAAACAGGCAATAAAAGCTAGGACGGAAGAACGAACGACGAGGAAGTCTGTGGTGCAATAAATGTTTCCAACTGGATTAGCGTCCATATGTGACATCCGCAGACTGATAAATATGACACAAATAGGAAAACCAAGAAGGAATATTTCTTAAAAACCTGTAGGCTTAATTGTAAACATTATTACATAACTCTCAGAAATTAGGTCTAAAGGCCCATGCATATATTCTTCGCTTGAAATGTTCTATGTATTGAAGTTTCTTTCCTTATGCTCACAACATTGAATTTCACTAGCCTACATAAATTGTATCCCCATTCTGCGAATAGAATTAGAATTACGATTATCATCCGACACTCAACTAAGCCAAAATAAGTCTGGGTTTCTAGCACTTGATGAGAACCATATAGCCGAGCGCGCTTCCGAAATCAGCAATATTCATAACGTATCACCATCACGTACTTCAACGTGTTGTCAACTGTGACGGATGAGATGACTGAGAGTGAACCAAAGTGACTATAGGACTGTGCAATGCACTGCTCTCTTTGGTATTTCACGTTTTATACCCCTCTGTAGGCTACACGATCTTAGTTTTATCCCTTATTCGACGTCCTTGTCATGGTTGTTTATAAAGCCACTATGATGATTTTTGTTATCATGGAGTTTGTGGTAGTTCCATTGCATAATTCACAAGAGCTGTTGGTATGCGGTATAGTGATGTGAGCCGGGAGAAAGAGCTATAGGCGTAAGTGTTTTGGCAGCCCTCGAGACAAATTACGTGGCTCATCTCAGCTTTTGAAGCAGAGAGGAAAGAGCCCCTTTAGCCCGTATTTCTTTGATTTCTTTGAAGACGAACATCTGCACTGTTGCACTTTATGACTACCCCTATGCGTGTAGTTTACTAGAATACTACTACTACTACTACTACTACTACCACTACTACTACTACTACTACTACTACTACAACTAGGCCTACTACTACTGCTACTACTAACAATAATAATATTTTTGACCAAATACTATATTATTATTATTATTATCAGCAGTTGTAGCAATTCCAGAGCAATCCAATTAGGCCTAATAATGGTAGCCTAACCTCTCACTGCACTGGGTTGAATTATCATTTGTTTAGATCTGAAGCTGTAACAACATAGGCTAACACATAATAATCTAGGCTACATTAGCCTACAGTGTTCAGTTTGCCACGTTTAACAATTTGAAGCAGAGATGAACATGTGTTGATCATGTGGGTCGGAAGCAATGCTTTCATATCAGCTTTCTCTTACTTGACCATGAGGAATTAATACTCAATGCTGGCTCTGAACACATTTTTATAAGATGACGTTCACCTATTCCGGCCACTATACAAATTAGGTCTTGGTGCTATGCTTCATGCCTGTTATACACTACGCTAAAAAGAGACGACGCTGTTTAAGGTGACAAAAAAACACACACCGTAAATCCTCTCTCCCTCTCCCTCTCCCTCTCCCTCTCTCTCTCTCTCTCTCTCTCTCTCTCTCTCTCTCTCTCTCTCTCTCTCTCTCTCTCTCTCTCTCTCTCTCTCTCTCTCTCTCTCTCTCTCGGATAGCCTGACGAGCTGCAAAAGGTGTAGCCCACACGACAAAGTGCAAAAAGAAACGATTGGCAAAAAGGTTCCCGCACAATGACCTGCAGCAAAATCACATAGAGGTGCTAGTACGACTCAAACGCACCTGCGACAGGCCTATTGACATTGTCCCATTTCAATTAGCCTCATACAATGTCTGAAGTGATTTGGAAAAATCTAATATGCCTTTTTGCCCAGTAATGTTTTTACTTTAGGCTATAGCCCCCCCCCCCACACACACACACACATTTTCACAGCTTTGCCATCACTACACATGTATTCAATGTTTATTTTGTGCAAATTAATGTACAAGTGTTTCCCTTATTTAACAAAATATGCACAGGAAAAGGCCTACGTCCAATTGACCACAGTATACACTATTGGCGAATCCAATAATGATGATGTTCATGCGTTAAAGCTCGTGTATAAAGCGTAACAAAGCTCGTGAGTAAACTTTAGCAATACGATTTCTAGGCTGGTTAGGCATGGATTTCTGAAGTAAGGATTCTGCCCTATGTGTGCAAATTATTGTTGTTGTGGAATATGATCATGATGATTATTGGGATTATGATTTGTTGTTATATTAGTATTATGATTTTGAGCATGTTTGCTGCTGCTGGTGTTCCTTCAATAAATAATTCAATATTTAATATTTGTTGTGTACAGCTGTTTTCATTATTGTATGAGAAAATAACAGGTTTAGGTCATCTCACAATACAGACATCAATACAGATATCAATTCAAAATGGTTCCCACGTGAAGGTTGAAATATTTCAGAAGATGTTCCAAGCTTCGTGCCTGCGGCATGTTCAGACATTTTGCTATCCGCATATGTCATCTATGTATTAAACTGTATCCGCACTAATGTGGTATATAGCCTGCATAACTACCAACCACCGACCAACGGTTACCAACCCCACCACTCCCCACACACAACCTCTCACCTCCGCCGTGGAAGAGGTGGGCACAAGGGGGCACTGTTAGTAGTAGTGAACAACGGTAGTGTGTTTGTTTGTGTGTCTGTGTGCGCGCGTGTGCGCGTGCGCGCGTGTGCGTGTAACATAGTATAATACTACAAGATCTAACATTGATTTTTAAATACATATACTCTCACCCATCTTTCTTTGCAACCAATGTTGTCTATAGCTAATTACATATCCAGTCAGCAATTAGAGTAGTTAATAGACGAAAGGTCACTTAGACTAA